AAAAAAAAAAATTAATTACAATAAGAATTAAATTGGCGAAATCCGTGTGTGTGTGTGTGTGTGTGTTAAAATGATTTCATTAACAACATTGTAATGACTATTTTACATTGAATTGAATTTATTTGCAATTGCAATTTTAATTGAAATTTCTCATACTGTTGAAGCTCACGCTGTGGGATATATTTATTAAATATTTATGTATATATTAAAAACATGTTTTTATTTATATTTAGATAATTATTTGACTTTAATGGCCAGAAGGATATAAACACTTGATGTTTTATTCTAGGTGAATTTCGTTTTAACACATCTAACAGTTCTGATGATAAAATGCAAAATATATTTCTAATCCTTCAAAAATGGAAAGTGCCTACAACACTCTCTTTAGAGAGATAAAGCAGAAAGAAAGACAATGCTTCAGTGTTTTTTGTGTGATCTTATAGCCCAACTGGGGGCATTTTCTGTGTTTTTTTTTTCTTCTTCTCAGCAGTTCTTTTTATCAGACATTGACGCAACAGCTCTGTCCTGCTCTTTCACAGTTTGATAACAATATGCTTTTGACCTTTTTCTTGTTTTGTTTGCATGCGATGTGATGGCCCATCACCAACAGGCTCAAGATGGCCTCTAATGTAATTAAGCGGTCTAGTCAATGCTGATATGGATTTCTCCCCCCTATATGAGCATCTTTCAGCCTTGAAGAAAAATCAAAGTATTGATATGTTCCAAGAGGTTGGAGTGTTCAGCAAAGTGGCTTCTTTTATGTGTTCCCTGGTTCGTTTTCCTCAGGTAAACACATTTAAGAAGAAGGACAGAGTGCCGAGCGCAAAAAAATGCTTCACGTAATCAGCAGACCGCGTGTGTTTATGCCTCTTCAAACACAGCCTTTCATTAAAAAAGGATTATGAAATTCCATATAAATGAATATGGTTTATTTGCAAAGAGTTTGATCACTGAAAGGCCAGTGTCTTGCGCTTATAACAAAAGACAAGTCTGGAATATTTTGTGGTTTGATATGAAGCCGTGACTACGCTCTTGTAAAAAGTATGTTAATGTCTAAAACTGAGGCAGGGAATTCTTTTTTAATTTGAATATGCAAATGAGAAATTAAAGAACACGGGAAGAGCTTTTATGTCATAATGAGGCTCGTCTGAGCTCTGGACCTTTTGAAATTAATTAGCTTATGTTGTAATGTAAGACGGGATTTTATAAATGGATATACAAAACTTTTAGATGCATGCTCGGGTGAAGCTTAGGCACTTATATAGTTAGTTATATATTATAATTACTTATATAATTATAGTTTGATGTGTGTGTGTGTGTGTGTGTGTGTGTGTTCACAAATGTATTTATTTTATGTCATTTTTATTTATT